CTTGTGTGTGCCTGTGATACACATCAGGGTGACACACTGACGGTGCCACTCCTCTCCAGTGCAGACAACTCGACCCACAGTGCTGACACCTCCAACAAGTTTGTGTTTGGCCAGAACATGAGCGAGCGCGTCTTGGTGAGTGGCCCTGGCACTGTTATCTAGTGCCTGTTCCCACTTGGGGGTACACAGCATGTGGCTGGTTATGCTGTCTCCTGTACAGTCAGGACAGGATTCTCAGGTACAGGGACGAGAAAGACCAGCTCACACTCACTACAGGCTTTGGTTGCCCACAGAGGCTGCCAAGGGGCTGGCTTTACCCTTCTTGTCTTTACTCTCCATTGACATTAGGTATCCCTGTGGCCAGGTCCAGCTGAGATGAACATTAGCTGTCGTACTTGAGGCCCTCAAAGCTACACCACAGAAACAGATGGCCTGTGTCTCTGTGCACAGAGCCAGCCATGCCTGCCACTTCTGCAGGGCGGGGCAGCCAGGGTAGCAGGCGTGTGCACACTCCTGCTTTCCCACCGCTTTATCCCAGGGGGCAAAGCCTAGCAATCCCCCGCTGCTTGTCCATTTTCTCCCGCTGGGTGGAGTGTCCAACCCCACCGTGGCATCTAGATTCTGATCATCCTTCCTTTGCCGGGCATGGTGGCCATGCTACAGCTTTGTCCTGTTGGTCTGCCACAGTGTGGTGTCACAAAGCTACTTACCTCCTGTGGTCCTGAGAGGCGGGCCTGACTAGGAATGGCTGCTGAGGATGGGCCCCTGCAGGGTGCGCAGGAGTCAGGCCTCTGGGAAGTGCTGAGCGGCCATCCCTGCTGGGCCTCTCACTCTGTCCTCAGCACCCACAGCAGCTCCGCCCTGGCACGCTTGTTTCCTCAGAGCCCCCCCAAGCTGAATGAAGCCAGTTCAGATGCCAGCAGGGAGACTACGCATACCCAGTCAGGGTCTGAGCCATCGTCCCAGGAGGCTGCCCCCAAGAAAGGTAGGGCACAGCTCTGCACACACCTTGGGATACCCCGACCACCAGGAAGGAACAGCTGTGGCCCCAGTAGATGTGAGAGGTTGGCTTGAAGTGCCTGGGATGGTTGGTGGGTTTTTTGTTCTGCTGAGCAGGACAGGGCTCCTCAGGTCCCCAGGAGCCCCAGACCTGCTGACATGACTTCTTTCTGGGATCTTCTCTATGCAGAGTCACTGGCCGAGTCAGCCGCTGCCTACACCAAGGCTACAGCCTGGACATGTTTGCTAGAGAAGGTGGAGGTCATAACAGGGGAAGAGGCAGAAAGCAACGTGCTGCAGGTGAGACCAAGTATGCTGAGGCAGGACTGCCAGGAATTGAGACTAGCTGGGCTACATAGCAAGGCCCCATCTCCACAACAACAAAATGAGGAAGAGGCAGGCAGATCTCTGAGTGTGAGGACAGCCTGGACTACACCAAGTTCCAGGCCAGTCAGGAACTTTTTTGCCTCAAGGAAACCAAAATGAGTTGTATAATCATTGTTATAATTTGACAGGGTGTTTTCATCCCCTAAATAAAACCCTGTCCCAGTGAGCTTGACCCTAACACCCACAAATCTTCCTCACATCTCCGGGTTCCCAGTTCTGGACATTTCTTACGGTGTCCCCAACACATGGAGTTTTGTGCCTGGTTTGACCATGTTTGGCCTCTTTCTGCCTCGGGACTCTTACAGGCAGTGTGGTGTGTGTGTGTGTGTGTGTGTGTGTGTGTGTGTGTGTGTGTGCCAACACATGGAGTTTCTTCCTGGGTAGGCAGTGGAAGGGCCTCTTTCTGCCTCGGGACTCTTACAGGCAGTGTGGGGTGTGTGTGTGTGTGTGTGTGTGTGTGTGTGTGTGTGTGTGATTTACTTCCTTCCTGGGTAGGCAGTGGAAGGGACCACCATGCTGTTGTCTTCCCCAGTACTGTAGGATGTCCCTGTAGCCAGGCAGCTCAGCACAGTACCCAGTGCTCCTTTGCTGTGGAAACAAGGTGGCATCTCTCTGTATTTGGATTTCCAGAGTCCCCCTTGTTTACACGCTTGGACAGAGTGCATGGCTCTGTGGTAGAGCCTAGCATGCAGGGGCGTGGGTTCCATTCCCAGCACCACAGAAACCAAAAACCTATAAATAGATGTGGGTAAGGAAGGAACAAAGCTAGGCACTGGCTGACAGCATGTCCTGGCCATTGCTGGTGGACTTGGTAGCCAGATGGGGTAGTTAGTGTCACTGATAGCTCTTGACTTGAAGTGGAGCCTGAGCTTTGTGGGGTACAGAGGGCAAGTACCCCAACCCTGCTTACTGACCCTGTGTGTTACAGATCCAATGTAAGCTGTTCGTGTTTGACAAGACCTCACAGTCATGGGTGGAGCGTGGCCGGGGACTTCTCCGGCTCAATGACATGGCTTCAACTGACGATGGCACGTTACAGTCCCGACTGGGTGAGCACTGGGAAGTGTGAACCCTCCTAAAGGTTGGCTGGGGTCACACCAAACCAGAAGTGTAGGTTCCACAGCTGGGGCAGGGGCATAACTGTGAGCAGGGATACCAATCCCTGCTGTGAGTCCCTCTGGCCCGGGCCTGCTGCCCCTCCATGCTCACTTCGTGCTCAGGCACCATCAGCAGAAATAAGTACAGCTTGGAAGGAAGCAAGGTGAGGGCAGGAGAGGTGTTAGCCTGGGCCACAGTAAGGCCAGCCTGGGCTTCAGTGTGCACCTCCACCTCAACAAAACAGGACCTCCTGCTGTTTCGGGAGTTTTGTGAAAAGGGTCTCACTCTGTAGTCCAGGCTTGCCTGGAGTTCACTGTGAGCCTGCTGTGCCTGCGTTTGAACTCTTCCAAAGACATGGAAACTTCTTTCCCATTTGATAACATTCCCTTTGAAAAAAGGTTAAGCTCAGAATTGGGGAATAAGGCAGGAGGACTGCTGTGAGATCAAGGCCAGCCCATGCTGTTGTTATCCTGCCTCAAAAAAAAAAAAAAAGGTTGATGGAAATGGCTACGGTACTTCTCTTAGCAGTGACAGTCTGTACCTGTGACACTATGCACCCAGGGTAGTTACGTTTTTTCCTACCCATAGCAGGTAACAAGCCAGGAGCCACCTTTGTGACAGTTACTCCTGGAGCCTCAGTTGAGCTCCTAGTCTGGGGGCAGGGGTACTCTGTAGGCCTGACTGGGGAGAGTTGGGATCTGCCTCACAGAGGTGATGATGGACTTGGGCTTGGTCCTCGGGTGGGAGTGGGTAGTCTCCATCTCCAGAGGGTGCTGTGAGAGCACACCCCACCTGCCCTGTTCCAGACCAGCCCTTCCCTGCAAGGGCATGGCTCCCCTGGCCCTGCTGGACATGGGCTGCAGGTTGGGGCAAGTGTGTAGCTAAGCAGCCTCCTTCCTTCAGTGATGCGGACCCAGGGCAGCTTGCGGCTCATCCTGAACACAAAGCTGTGGGCACAGATGCAGATGGACAAGGCCAGCGAAAAGAGCATCCGCATCACCGCCACGGACGCCGAGGACCAGGGTGTCAAGGTCTTTTTGATTTCGGTGAGCTCAGGGGAAGGCTGGGGTGGCCCACTGGCTCACCTCTGGTCACTGTGCTGATGTCACCAGGCAAGGACACAAACCTCCCCTGGGCGGTTCCTGATAGCCATGTACACACCGTGCTGCTCCCTCTGCTACACATCACATGTGGAGGGATGACAGACCCCACTCTAATCTCATTGACTGGCCTAACACTCCAGGGGCCTTCCAGCACCTGGGTGGTAGTAGTCCCTTGTCAGAGAAGTCAGCTGACCAGGCCAGTGTGGCCCATTGACAGGCTAGGGCCTACATTGTGGACACTGCCCAGCCTGGCTGCTAGCCATACACTGCTACCTCACACACTGTCTCCCCAGGCCAGCTCCAAGGACACTGGCCAACTGTACGCAGCATTGCACCACCGCATACTGGCCCTGCGTAGTCGGGCTGAGCAGGAACAGGAGGCCAAGGCACCTGCACCTGAGCCAGGAGCCCCACGGGCCACCGAGGAGGAAGACAGTGATGAGGATGCAGTGCTGACTCCCTCAGGGGTCACGGGAGCTGGTGAGCAGCATGGGACCTGTGGGAGGGACTCCAGCTCCAGTGGTGGCTGTATGCTGGGACTGAGGAACCCGCTCTTCCCACAGGCACAGGTGATGAAGGGGATGGCCAGACACCTGGGAGCACATAGCAGCGGAGCCGCTGAGCCAGGCTGCTGCTTTGTCGTCTGTCCGATGCCCGTCCCTCCCTGCAGGCCACATCATGGTGGTGTCTATTGCCGGGGTGGCCGCAGGCTGGATCCACGTGTCCCCTCTGCAGCAGATGGGGATGCCAGGATGCGGCTTGGGACTCAGACCTCATCATATTGATGAGCAGAAAGAACATTTCCCGCCCTCCTCCGATCGAAACGGCACATTGACACTTGTCACAGCTTCTGCTGGCTCTCAGACCGTCTCTCCCACCCTGGGCAGTGACAGTTCGAACTCTGGGCTCAGTGTTCTGTTGAGCAACCTGCTGTCTGCTCGGCTTCCCGCTCTACCGGGTCCACATGACTAATGCCTCTTGTTCATTTCTGATGGCTTGGCTTTTGAGGGCCTGGATGAAGCTGCTTGTGGGTTGAGCTGACTTGATGCCCCTGTGGGCAGCGTCCGGCCCCCACGGTGACTCCCTAGGTTTGGGCCTGAGAACACCTGTCTGGAAGAAGGTGACGCGCCCAGGAGGGTTCCTGTGCTGTTGCTCACCTGCTCTCTAAGCAGGTCCCCAGTGCAGCACAGCCCTTAGGTGATTGACCATCTAGGGCCCCTGAGAGGCAAAGGGAGCCTGCAAAGGGCCTGTCATTGGGCGGAAGATGACACCCCCACCCATGGACTGTGTGGCTCCATCTCTGGCTAGGCCACACCCGGGGAGCCAGCAAGGACACCAGAGGCTGCCTGGCAGATGGGTCACACTGCTTCCAGCCTTAGCCAGCCAGTGACAAGTGACTCCAGACATTGCCCATGTGTTTTGGAACATTTATGTAAGATTGTCATATGAAATGTATTTGAGAACTGCATTAAAACTTTTAACAAAACCCCCCAGCCTCCCATGCACCTGGCAGCCAGATGGGCTGGGTGTGGCCATGGAGGCCCCTGATGGGGTCAGTGATCAATCTAGCCATTGCCAGGTCTACAGGTGGCCCTGCAGGAGACCTGGTCCAGACCTGGTTCAGCCTCCATTCTCACATCTCCCCCTCCCTGTGTCTAGTTGAGGCCCCAGGACAGTGGTAACAGAGGGCAGCAGGTGGGTCAGGACTAGGCTAAGGGCCCTGTTAGGCAGGTGAGGGATGCCACATCAGAGGCGCCAGGCTCTGCTCACCATGGCCACAAACTCGGAGTCCGTGTCCACTGAAGCGCTGAGCCCGCTGTAGTAGTCTTGGAACTCTGCCAGTGTGACCTGTTGGGGGGGCAGGCTGTGAGGCGGGTGGCCGATTGTGAGGGGACCCAGGCCAAGGATGCTGCCCCTGTAGGAGGTACCGGGTGAACACACCTGCCCATCCTTCTCAAACATGTCAAAGTTGTCAAGGAATTGGTGGAGGGCCTCATCCTCTGACCACTCTCCACTGCGCACCTTGGGGTGAGCCCGACCACTGTATACCCCTCGCAGATCATCCACGGTCACCACACCATCCCCAGTCTGGTCCAGCTTAGCAAAGGCAGCTGCAATGACAGCTTCCCGGGCCTGGGACATGGGGGGCTGTAGAAGGGGACAGTGACTGAGGAGTGCAGGGGCTGGCAACCTTCACCACCCCTTGCCTCAGTCTCTGAGGCTAGCCTCACCCGTAGTGCTCGCAGGAACTCCTCCAGGTCCAGTGTCCCACTGCCATTGCGGTCCCAGCGCTTGCACAACGCCTCTGCCTCTGCTTCCCCCACCTCCAGCCCCAGCTGTCCCAGGCCCTGCCTCAGCTCCCCTGCATCCAGGGACCGGCTACCATCCTTGTCCAGGCGGCGGAAAAACCTGGGGATCAAGAAGTCAAGATGAGCTTACATGGGTGAGGACTGCCCAGACCAGAAGATGCTGCAAGTATAGGGGATGAGGGCTTACCTGGCTAGACCCTGAATGCCCGAGGCCCCTCGGGACAGACACTGGGCCCTCAACTTCTCCATGGTGGCATTCACAGTGTCCATTATGAGTGCAAATGAATACCTGCGGAGGACAGAACTCCCAGTGAGTTTCTATTCTCAGCCAGCCTGGTACAGAGCTAGTAATACCACACAGCCCAAGAACACCCCAACCACTCACCTGGCCTGCTTGTTTCCCGAGTCAGTCCTACCGGTGGAGCTCCTCCGGGAGGTCTGTGCGTCCTGTCTGGAATAGCTGTTGCTAGGCAGTATGGCTCTGGAGACTGGGAGGTGCCCAGATGTAACTCTTTCTCTACCAGGCACATTAGCCAGCCAAGAAGGGCAGGCACTGTGACTCCCAGACCCATTGTCTACCTCTGGTGCCATGATAGCTTCAAGCCTGGCTGGAGACTTGGGGCACACAGCTGTCCCACTCTGGACTACATGGGGTATCCCACCAAAGCCAATCTAGGATTAGTTGGATATGGTAGCACAGGCTTAACCACCCCAGCTATTTGGGAATCTTGAAGTAGGAACATAGCTGAAAGTCTGAAGCCAAGTTGGGCTACAGACTGAAATAACCGGGGCCTGGTTGGTACACAGCTATGATCCTAGCATGCAGGAGGTGGAGGGCCAGGAGTTCTAGGCTATGAGACTGTCTCAAAGTCAAAAAACATCCATGGGTTTGCAAGCCAACCAGTGTCATGATTCAGTTAATGAGAAACTGAAGTGACATTTTGCTACCCAAATGGATGGCCTGTTGTGTTCCAAACATTGGTGGGTAGCAGAAAAATAGCTCATTGTTTTCGTTTTCAGTGCTGGGGATGGAACCCAGAGCCTTGGCATACCAGGCAAATGTTGCTAAGCCACACCCCAGGCACCATTGCTTTTCTATAGAGAAATGTAAAATATAATTAAGAGTTGCTGGGAGTGTTCCTTTTCACAGTGCTGGGATAGAAACCAGGATCTTAACCCTGGCAAGCAAGCCCTACTGCTGAGCTACAGCCCAAGCAATTCTGAGTCCTAATAAGATGCAAGGCTGGGAGTAAATCTAGCATTACAACCCCCACCTAGAATTCCCAGTGAGAAGCTGGGGGTGTGGTCAGGGGTGGAGCCCCACCTAGAATCCCCCAGTGAGGGCCTGGGGTGTGGTCAGGGGTGGAACCCCTGTCTAGAATCCCCCCTGTTGGGGACTGGAAGGCGGGGCTAGTAAATTTCAATATTCTCCTTGTCCCCTAAATTGGAAGTGGTTTGGGCTTGTACACAGAGCAGTTACCCTTCACTTTGGCCTGAGTTTCCTCAACTGTCACTGGGAACAGCCTGCACACAGAGCTGCAGGGAGCCTGACTCCAGCCCCCTCAGCTGTAAAGCCATCCAAGGAAGCATCCTACCCAGTCCCCACAACAGGAAGAACGATAGCCCAGGCTGAGAAATAACTGGTTTATTCTGGTGCAGACAGGGCAGGCCCTAGCCTGCTTCCCCTGTATAAACAACTCCCTTCTCCCCTCTGTCTCCTCTGCTGAGGGTCCCAGGCAGGAAGTCAGCACATTCCAGGGACTGGTCAGCTGGGGGCCCTTCTGGTTGGAGCAGCTCCTACCTTCCTGCTTGGTGGCTGCTCAAGGACAATTCCCTGAGCATGGGGACCATGAAACTCAACAGACCAACTGCTGGTGCAGGGGTGTGGGGGAGCCATTCCTCTCAGCCCTCTAACAAAGACAACACACCCTCATAGGCTGGGGACAGCATTGAAACTAGGAGTTAAAAAATAGATTCTCTTAGGGTATCAAAAAGGACACTTGCTACAAAAACACCAATGTTTTGTACCCAGAACAGGGCAAGGGCTCATCAGATGTTGGGGAGGCTCCTGGCTGTGCGGGGGTTTAGCCATCTGTGGCAGGCACTTAAGTGGATAGGAGGCAGAAAGATCAGAAGTCCAAACCCTGCCCAGGATACATAAAAAGTTTGAGGCCAGTCTGAGCTACACAAAATTATGCATCAAAAAAACAAAACAATCACAGTGGAAGGCAGCAGCCTGGTTGTAGGAGTTACTACAGGGAGGCTGGTCAGGATAGAAGGAGACATTTGAGAGAAACCTGAGTGTTTTGGGGAAAGCACTGAGGCACAGGCAACAGACAATAGAGGCCCTGAGGCAAAGGCTGAGGCTTTCATGGTGGTGTCTCAACCTGCCTGCTCTCTCCTGAGGGAAAGATGGAGGTAAGGGAAATGGATCTGGGATTAATGATTTGTCTTCTTACACAGAAGCAACAGAAGGTGAAATAAAGACACTCTGACCCAGATGAGGGGTGGCAGCTCAGGAGGCGTAAGAGTAAAAAGGGGACTCCCATCAGCAGGGCACGGTGGCTCACACCTATATTTGAAGCAATTGGGAGACTGGGTTCCAGGGAAGCCTGGACTATGGAGGGAGACCCCATCCACATCAAAAATAAAAACAGAAAACCCAAAGAAGATAGGGCCTGGTGGTGGGTGCCTGTCATCCCAGCAGAGCTCAAGGTCACCCTTCCTAGACAGCAAGTGAGAGGCCAGCCTGGGCTATGTGGGACCCTGTCTCCAACAGGAAACAGCACTGCTTCAGAGTCAAACTGAGATAAGGGGTCAGACTGCCATTATTTCACTGGTGCTGGGATGGTGGGTGTGCATTTGCCAGTCTGCCACCACGCCTGTGCATGCTAGGTGGGGGCTCCACCACTGAGCCACTGCCTCAGCCTTTGTTTATTTTTGAAATTATTTAAAATTAACTAAATGTAGCAGATACCCCAAGCACTGGGGGGAAACTTCTTAAAATGAGATCTTGGCCTTTTGGATGTTTAGGATCACAGTAATGTCCCAGGTCCCCTTCGGGGCTCTGGTGACATCCAGGGCTCTGGACCTTGGCCACAGACTCTGAGATCTGATCCACCAGGGCAGCTCACACCGTGGTCCCAAACACGCCAGGCTGCAGATGGCCCTGGCCCTCCTCTATGCTGTTGCCCAGGGGTGGACCCGGCCCATCAGGAAGTAGCTGTCCCTGGTCACTGGCCGGCAAGGGGCCCAGTCGCTCAGCCTCCTCCAGGGCAGCCAGCAGGGCAGCCAGGGGTGGTCGCCATCGAGTGATGTCCCGTAGCAGGTCAGCCTGGGGCTGCAGCTGCTGGATCATCTGGTCCTTCTGGTCCACTTGGGCCTGCAGGTTGCGGACGATGGTCTCAGAGCTCAGGAGCTGCTTCTGGAGGGTGGAAATCTCCCTGGTGAGGGATCCAAAGGAGGTGGTTACCACTGGGGGTGGAGGGGCCGCGCCTGCCTGCTCTGGAACCCTCTGAGGCTCCCTATGGCCCCTCCTTCCCTGCCTCTATTTTCACAATTGTATGTGTGCTCACACGCCCGCGTGTAGGTTTGCAAGAGTTGGTTCCCTCCTTCTATCCCATGGTATAAAATTCTTCCTCTTTCTTTTTGTCTTGTTTTTTGAGACAGGATTTCTCTGTGTAGCCCCAGCTGTCCTGGAACTCAGAGATCCGCTTGCCTCTGCCTCCCATTCTTAGTGGCAAATGAGTGCCTTTACCCACGGAGCCATCTCCATGTTGACAAAGTACCCCAACCCCACAGCATGCCTGGAGCCAGTGATCTATCCCTAACCCGGTCAGCCCAGCACTCCAGAGGTGGAGGCAGGAGGATCTGGAGTTGAAGGTTATCCTCGGCTACACAGTGTCTTCACGGCCAGCCTTCTCTCAAAAACAAAACAAAACAAAACAATGCCAGTTTTGTGTCTCCTTAGCAGGTCTTCCTTGTTGCCCAAAATGGTTGCCACAGCCCTATGTGGGTTCTGACACCACGGTGTCCGGGTGCTCTGTGCCTCTGTCTACCGATGTGGCTCCTACCCAGCAGGCCCTGGGACATGCTCTTCTCTTCACAGCTCCTCCGATCCTCAGGCGGCACAAAACTCGCGAAACCCACGGGGCTGGGGCTTCCGGGACAGCTGGCCCCGTTTGAACAGTTTGGGACACTCTCTTAACTCCCCGTGTAATCGATGCTGGCCCCGAACTCCTGACCTCCGGCCTCAGCCTCCTCAGTGCTGCGATGCCGGGCACGCAGAGAGCTCTGTAGAGTTTTGCTCCGGGTTCCCAGCCCAGCCC